CCCCCCGCCCTCCCCCTTGGCCGGAAAGGCTCCCCTCACCTGATGAGGATGTTGAGGTCCTCGCTCTCCTGCTGCAACGTGGCCTTCTCCTGGCTCAGCTGCTGCTGCAGCTTCTGGTTGTGCTCCAGCAACGCCTCGTTCCGCCCGTCGTCTTGCAAGGACTGGGGAGAGGCGGAGGGGGGGAGGGGGAGGTCACGCACAGGCTCCCCAAGGGCCCCCCAGGCAGCCCCTCCCCCCATCCCCTCCCCAAGGCGCCCACCTTCATGACCGAGTACATCTGCTTCTCCAGCAGCCGGATCTGAGCCACGTGTTGACGGACGGCCTCCTGAAGGTGGAGGATGCTACTACGCTGCTCCTCCGGGTTGCTGGAGATCTCCAGCTGGAATCGAACCCGCTGCTTCTTCTCACTGTGCTCCTTGTGGGGGGGGCGGGGGGGCAGAAAAAGAACAGGGTTGGTGGTCAGGACTAGGGGGCCAAACCCCCCATTCCCCCCAGTCGGTCGTTAAGCCGGATTAAGCAGTAGGGGTTGTGTTGGGTAGAAAAGACCCCTCCCCGTCTGGAAGGAGGGGGCAAGGAGGGGACACCCCCCCAAACCCAAAAGGCAGAAGCAATCAGAACCGCTCCCTCCCACAACGGGTCAAAGGTGCTGTCAATCTTGCAGCCATCTTTCCTTTTGGATCTCTATTATTCTGCTATGCATTTTCTATGGTGGGAAGATGGGACTATACGGAGTTAGACAATAGGTAGCCATAACAACATTCTTTCTAGAAAGCCAAGGTCATCCAAGGAGAATCTCCACAGACATTTTAGCTCCCACAACGTCCGAAGGTGTTGTCTTTACTGTTGATGTTACAGAGACCCCAGGCGTCCCCCTCAAACCTTTCCTCCCATGAATGGAGTCTCAGCTGGAAGGACTTTCGGTTGTGTCCCTGCGGAGCTGGCGGCAGATTCGGACAGTGAGGAGGGCTGGGGAGGAAACATGGGCCGTTCCTGGAGTCTGGGGAAGGGTCAGACGAGGGCTCTGTGTCGGAGGCAGAGAGGGGGCCGGGGCCATCTGGGAGTTATGTGCTGCCTATGGAGCCTCCAGTCGGACAGCAGCGAGGCAGAAGAACAGGGGGAGCCTGTTCCCAGTGTGCGCATGCGCAGAGCTGCCAGAAGGCAAGAACAGTTAAGCCAGAAGGGACGACTTGTGAGTAAGGCTTGGAGGTGATTGGCCCCTCCCGTAGGACATAAAGGAGCACATGAATGCCTTTGGAGGAAGCAACTTGGTTCATGCTGGACAGTTTTTCCTTCTGAAGCGCCGTTTGGACTCTTTGCTCCCAAGCTAATTGCAAATTAAGTCTTTGGCAGTGTTTCCAAAGAAGATAAAGGTGGGTGCTTACCAGCCTTCTTCCGAAAGACTTTGGCAGACTACTGTAGGACTCTTTACAAACTATTTGGGGACTCATTATGGGCTGTGAATGAACATAATTCACAGCCATTGAAATAAAAAAGGGGGACTTTGGATCTAATTGTATGCTTTTTAGTGTATCATGAAGCCTAGGTCAGAACCTCCCCCTCCCCCCCCACAATGGGACAACTCGCCACTTACAACTCGCCATGGGACAATTCAACAGCTCAGCTTAACGATATGAAATAATTTTAAAACTTACTTTAATTCTTCGTCATTCCCACTTCATTCTGTATTTAGTATTTAGTATTTATTAAAATTTATAGGCCGCCCTTTTCCCTGAGGGGACTCAGGGCGGCTTACAATCACAAGGGAGGGGGGTGC